ATGAACGGCGCTGCTGTAAGGAGCCGCGGCGTGACGACGGGGCAGGTACTGAGCCTCTTGCTTTTGTTCGGCGTTTCCGACTGGGTTTCCGCCGCGATTCGCTATGCGATCCCCGAGGAGGCGCGGAGAGGCTCCGCGGTGGGGAATGTGGTAGCCGACCTGGCGCTGGACCTCGGGCGGCTGCCGGGACGCCGGTTGCGGGTGGTGTCCGGCGGCAATAAGAAGTACTTCGGGGTGGATCTGACGAGCGGGGCGCTGCTGGTGAACGAGAGGATAGACCGGGAGGAGCTTTGCGGCGCGCTCTCTCCCTGCTCCCTCGGCTTTGAGATCGTGGTGGAAAACCCGCTCGAGCTGTACAGCGGCACCGTAGAGATCCAGGACATCAATGACAACGACCCGGTTTTTCCCAGCAGCCAGGCGAGGCTGGAAATCAGTGAGTCGGTGGCTGCCGGAGCGCGCTTCCCGCTAGAGAGCGCGCAAGATCCCGATGTGGGAATTAACTCTTTGCAGACCTACCAGCTCAGCGCCAACCCGAACTTTGCGCTCGACGTGCAGACCAGGGTTGATGGCAGCAAGTATGCGGAACTGGTGTTAGAGAAGGAGCTGGACAGGGAGGAGCAAAGGGAGCTGAATTTGGTCTTGACTGCGCTGGACGGAGGCAGCCCGCCACGGTCGGCCCACGTGCAGATCCACATTGACGTTGTAGATGCCAACGATAATGCCCCGGTCTTCAACCAGTCCACCTATAAGGCGAGTGTGAGGGAGAACACGCCCAGCGGTACCCTGGTCGCCAGGATCAGTGCGTACGATCTGGATGATGGGCCCAATGGAGACATCGTCTACTCCTTCAGCAGCCACACCCCTGCCAAGGTACGAGAACTCTTTGCTCTGGACTCAGCCACAGGGGAGTTGAGGGTCAAGGGACAGCTGGACTATGAGGAAACAAAGTTGTACGAGATTTACTTACAGGCTAAAGACAAGGGGGCCGTTCCTGGTGTGGCTCATTGCAAAGTGCTGGTGGAAGTCGTGGATGTGAATGACAATGCTCCAGAGGTGACAGTGACTTCTGTGTACAGCCCTGTGCCTGAAGATGCAGCCCCAGGGACGGTCGTAGCTCTGCTGAGTGTAACAGACTTGGACTCCCATGACAACGGCCTGGTGAACTGCTTTATTTCCCCTGGAATCCCGTTCATGCTCAGCTCCTCCCTCAAAAATTACTACACTCTGAAAACAGAAGGAGCTCTGGACCGGGAAAAGGCAGCAGAGTATAACATCACTATCACAGCCAAGGACTCGGGCTCACCACCCTTGTCTGCAGTAAAACACATCCTGGTGCAGGTGTCAGATGTCAATGACAATGCGCCCAAGCCATCCCAAGACTCCTATGACGTCTATGTTCTGGAGAACAACGTGCCTGGCATCCCCATCCTTAACGTGAGCGCCACAGATCCGGACCTCGGGCGCAACGCCCACCTCTCCTATACCCTTTTACAGGGTGACGTCGCTTTTGGCCATCTCTTCTCCATCAACCGGGAGAATGGCACCATCTACCTGCTCACCTCCCTGGACCATGAGGACCAGGTGGAGTTCAGCATGATGGTGCAGGTCCAGGACGGTGGCTTTCCGCCTCTGGCCACTAATGTGTCGGTCAGTGTGTTTGTCACTGACCTCAATGACAATGCCCCAACGGTGCTGTACCCTCACCCCAACAGCACCACCACCTACACCGATGTGGTGGCACCAGGCACTCCTGCCGGGCACATGGTCACCAAGGTGGTGGCGGTGGATGCGGATGCAGGGTACAACGCCTGGATCTCCTATACCCTGTTACAGGCCACTGACCCCAGCCTCTTCTCGGTGGGGCTGCACAACGGGGAGATCTTCACGGCCCGCCAGCTCCGCGAGGATGATGCTCCTGAGCACACCTTAGTCATCCTGCTGAAAGACCATGGGGAGCCTGTGCTGTCCACCAGTGCCACCATCTCCATCTCTGTGGCTGAAATGGTCAAGGAGGTTCTCACTGACCTCACTGATGTGGCCCCTGCCAGTGATCCCAGGAGACATGTGACTTTCTATCTCATCCTGGCTGTGATTTTGGTGTCAGCAGCCTTCTTCATCACCATGTTGTCCGTGGGCATCTTCAAGTGCTACAAGTGGAGACAGTCAAAGGAACTGTACAACAGCTCCAGGAATACCATGTACAGGACACCAGGGCCCTTCCACCACATTGATGCCGTGCGGGGTGGCTTCACGCCACCCAGCTTCTACCACCAGGTCTATCTTACCACAGACTCTCGCCAGAGTGATCTCCTGTGTAAAAAACCCTTCACTTCCAGCCCCTTGGGGAGCCGCCAGGGCACCATAAGGAATGGTGAGCCAGGGCTGTACCACCAGATTGTGGGCACCACCAGCCGGCTGCCCACACCTGCCGAGGTAATGTAGCTCCTTCCTTGGCGTGTCCCAGCGCTGGGCAGAACCGCGGTTCATTTGTGCTGTACGCGTGTGGTTACGTGTTGGGGTTGGGAGCGATATCCAGTCGTGCCAGGTCTCTAAAGAGTTCTGCTACAGCTGAACAGGTGTTCTCTGGAGCCAAATGAGACATCCTGAGGGCTGATGACTTTTGCACTGTGATGAGCAGGATCAAGTGAGTCAGTTTGTACATGTTGGCGATGATGCATCTTTTGGACGTAGTTTTGGGTACGCCTTGCATGAGTAACCAGTGGAGGCTGAGGTCAGCTTGAAACCACTTGTTAATCCTTGGCACAAAGTTTGTTGTTGATGGTATTTCCTTCCCTTTGCAAAGGGAGAGCCAAAGGGAGCACTTGCTCTGTGGGGGGAATGTAATCTCTGTGTGCCGTGACTCGGTGGGGGCTGGAGAGGTGGCGCTGCAGATGGGGCAGGGAGCTGGGGATCAGCGTGTCGCCTCTCACAGTGCAGCACCCAAAGGTGAAGGATGGTGCTGGTTCCTCTGACAGACAGTGGTCGCAGAGCAGTCCTTCCATGTTTGACACCTGAATGGTTCTGGTTTTATTTCCATGCAATTTCAGTGCTGATGTTCGCTTTGCGGGGGTGGGCGGGATTGCAGACTGCCCCAGTTGCTTGCAGGGCTCCGCTGGGCTGGACTTTGGCTCTGAGCAGGGTGGTGAGTCCTCCACTCTGATGTTGTTCAAAAACCCTGTTACAAGCTCTGCATGATTTGCAATATGCTGTCTCTGGGTGATGTCTGATGACCTGACAGAACAAACTGCAGGCTGGAAGGCGTCTGCGCATGGCAGCAGCTTCTGTGCTTCTCTCCCGATGCGAATTGTGCTGCTTAATTTGAAAGCTTTCAATTAAAGGAATGCTTCAGTCTTCAGAGGTGAGGCCAGGTAGTGGATCCAGTGGAAGGGGAATTTGGATCTGGTGCATTTCCAAGGTCGTTGGTGCTGGTAATTTGTCCTTCCTGGGAGGCAGTGGGTAGGTGTGACTGGTTCCTCAGAGCAGAAGGAAGTGAGGTGCAGCGGAAGCTGTTCACGGGTGTGAGGCTGCGAGTGCTGCATGCTCAGTGTGGCCAAATCACAGATGGAGGCAGAAACCTCTCAGAATTATTTTATGCCTTTTTTTTTTCCCCCTGCTTGCGTCACTGCTCAGACTCAGCACTTCTGATTTGTGGCAGGTGAGAAGGGCTGCAGCAGCTGCGGGAGCAAGTGCTCCTCTGCATTGTGTGGGCTGTGCTGTGGCTGGGGACAAGGATGTCCCCTCCATCAAAACGTTCTGAAAAGATGCCTCTGCTAGTGAGGGAAATAAATTATTTGAGAGTGGGGGTGGAAGGAGGGCAGAAAGCCTGAGCCTTAGCCATGATTGCCTCCTGCTCCCCAGTACTGCGCTGGAAAGGCACTGACAGTGAGAAATCACCTGGGCTGGCTCTGGGCTCTGGATTTTTGGTCTTTGTTGTGACAACAGACCGTGTCAAGCCTGCAAAGGCTTTACACCCCCTTGCTCTGCAGGGCACATCCAGCCCCCAAAAAGTGATGCAGTGGGAAGGGTGTTTGCCCTGCATATGACTCCTGCCATGAAGGATCCTACCCTGCAGGATCTCCAGTGATCCCTGGGTTGTCTGGCTTGGTGTCTTTCCACAGGGTGAGCTCTGACCCTGTGGAATAAAGAACATCTCCTTCTCCATCCTAGACACCCCATACCCTTCCCACCTTGTCACACCGTCCCCATCCCAGGCTTTGGCAGACCCAAGCAGCAGCAGGATCCGCCCTGTAAAGCCCTTGCTCGGTCCTTGGTGACCGAGCCACCTCAGGACACCGAGTGGGTTCTCCCAGGCTACGTGGGCTTTGCAGAGGGCTTCTGCTGAGGCACTGCAGCAGCACCAAACCCATCCCCAGGGGTGCAGCACCCTGTATTGCCAGCGGAAAGCTCTGTCACCCTGCTGCACTGTCCTGGACCCTGCCTTGGATGGGGACAGGGCACATTCCAGTGCCAAGGTTACTGTGACAGCTTCCTGCTGGTGGCACCGCCAGGAGCCCTGGGGGAATGAGAATGTCCAAGCAGAAATTGGTCTCTGTGCGCTGGGGAATCCCTTGTCCAGTGTTTTTCTGCACTGTCTCTTTAAGGACACCTTCTCCCCTCCTCCGGAGCCGGCAGTAGGTGGGACCCGGGCAGTGTTCTCACCATTCTTCCCGGTGTCTCTCCCTGACTGGCAGCAGACTGGTCCCGCCTCACGGCTCTCGGAATAGGCAGGGAGGTGCTGCAGACGGGAGGGAGGACCCTCGACTGCAGCACCTTCACTGTCCCTGTTCTTGCCAGAATGATGCTGTCCCTTGTCACCGTCCGCCGTGCCGGGCACGGGTGCCCTCAGCCTCTCTCACCTATTCCGCAGGTTCCCTCTGGTGCCCAGGTGGTGGGGACAGGCAGGATCCCAGGCAGGCGCTGGGTCCCCTGTTTGCCACACCACTGCAGACCCCAGCCCCCAGGGTCTGCGTGCACCCGAGGGAGGGTCAGGGTGGCCTTCAGTGCACCAAGGACAAAAGACAGAACGGTATTTTTACAGAAGCATGTAGTGACAGGACATGAGGGAATGGTTTTGAACTGACAGAAGGTTTGGATTAGATAACAGGTATAAAAATTCTTCTCTGTGAGGGTGGTGAGGCACTGGTAGAGGTTGCCCAGAAAAGCTGTGACTGCCGCATCCCTGGAAGTGTTCGAGGCTGGGCTGGATTGATCTCTGAGCAGCCTGGTGTAGTGGAAGGTGTCTCTGCCCACGGCAGGAGGTCAAAATGAGATGATCTATAAGGTCCTTTCCAACCCAGGCTGTTCTGTGACTCTGTGACTGTGCATGGCTTCTGCAGGGATGTGAACTGAAATAAAAACCTACAGCTTGCCAACATCATGTGGGACAGGGAGAGCAGGAAAATACTGCCCCCCCGGGAAGTTCAGACCTCTGCTTTTGCCCTCAGGAGACTGACTGCAAAGCTGTACTTACCACAGAGTATCAGTGTGTGCGTCTGCCAGGTGGGAGGCTCGGGCTTCTTTCCCAGTCTGACATCCTGACCTGGTGTTGTGATCCTGTGGTGATCTGGTGGCTTTATTGTCTGGCTCTGTGTGTTTGCAGTGATTTGGGTACTGTGAAGACTGACCCATTTCCTTGCCCCGGGGTGAGGAAGTGGCTTCCAGTCAGGTGTGCATTGGGAGCAATTGTATTTTGGCTTTGAATGGCTCACCTGCTTTTGCTTTTCCACCTTCAGCCTCCCACTCCCACAGAGGGCTGGCAGGGGTGGGCATCCCCGTCTCAGTGCAAGCTCTCCTGGCCGGTGGTGGCACTGGTGGCAGTGATGCCTCACTCAGAGAGGCAAACATGGGGTGCAGGCAGCAGCCAAAGCAGTAGCTGAGGGGGAGAAGAGGGGTGAGAGAAGAGCCCCTGGCACCTCGGGGCTCTAACAAGCACCTTTTCATCGGGCATGAAAAGTCCTTTGGCCTGCATTCATGACAGCTGCCCTTTGTCTGTGGGCATGATGTGAAGCCACCATTGTGGAGGGGGAGCACACAGGGAGGGCTTGTACCTTGCTTCCAGGCTGCCAGGACGTGCAGTTTCCCTGTGAACGCAAAGCGAGCTGTCGGAGCAAGTGAGTCAGGCTGGCAGAGGGGAGGCCGGGGGTGGCAGCCCCGCTGTTGCCGGCTCAGGCCCCTGCTTCCGGCACCTCCGGAGCCACTGCTGGCCGAGAGGGGATGGAGCTCTTGGCCAATTGGGCGCTGATCTGAAGCGAGGGGGGGAAAGCTGCTTCTCCCC